GCCACAACATGAGGAACTGTATAAAGGGTCGCCACAACATGAGGAACTGTATAAAAGGGTCGCCACAACAAGAGGAACAGTATAAAAGGGTCGCCACAACACGAGGAGCTGTATTAAAGGGTCGCCACAACGTGAGGAACTCTATAAAGGGTTGCCACAACATGAGGAACTGTATAAAGGGTCGCCACAACATGAGGAACTGTATAAAAGGGTCGCCACAACAAGAGGAACTGTTTAAAAGGGTCGCCACAACAAGAGGAACTCTATAAAAGGGTCGCCACAACAAGAGGAACTGTATTAAAGGGTCGCCACAACATGAGGAACTGTATTAGAGGGTCGCCACAACAAAAGGAACTGTATAAAGGGTCGCCACAACATGAGGAACTGTATAAAAGGTTCGCCACAACATGAGGAACTGTATTAAAGGGTCGCCACAACATGAGGAACTGTATTAAAGGGTCGCCACAACATGAGGAACTGTATTAAAGGGTCGCCACAACAAGAGGAACTGTATTAAAGGGTCACCACAACAAGAGGAACTGTATTAAAGGGTCGCCACAACATGAGGAACTGTATTAAAGGGTCGCCATAACAAAAGGAACCGTATAAAGGGTCGCCACAACATGAGGAACTGTATAAAAGGGTCACGGCTTTAGGAAGTTTGAGAACCAATGTTCTAGAGACCACCGGGCAGGAGCTGGAGACAGGAGTTACCTCCCCCGTGAGATGTTGATCCTCAAGGCTGCTATTCTGGAGGGGACAAACTGTGTGTATCTTTACATTTGTTTATGGATTTTCTTTCTTTCTTTCTTTTCTTTCTTTCTTTCTTTCTTTCTTTCTTTCTTTCTTTCTTTCTTTCTTTCTTTCTTTCTTTCTTTCTTTCTTTCTTTCTTTCTTTCTTTCTTTCTTTCTTTCTTTCTTTCTTTCTTTCTTTCTTTCTTTCTTTCTTTCTTTCTTTCTTTCTTTCTTTCTTTCTTTCTTTCTTTCTTTCTGTCTTTCTGTCTTTTATTCTCTTTCTTTCTTTCTTTCATGCATGCACATACGTTATTCAGATATATGCAGAGCGTTGGTTCCCCTCCGGCAAAAGGCCTGTGAAGGATCAGTCGATCCTATTTATTTCGGGCCCTTGATTGGAAACCTGTCCCTAGGATGATCACGGAGAGGCGGAGGCAGGTCTTGGCCAGTATGAGATATGGTGCTGCTGTACAGCCACCTGTCTTTTTCTGTGTCAAGTAAAATCAAGACGATAAATTTCACGAAAGAAAATCCTTTCTTTAAATCTAGTTCATCCTGTGCCTACACATGGAGAGGCGATGGAACCTGGGCACTCGGGCCACTTCTAATTTCATCAATAATGTCCTGTTGTATTAATACATGTCACATAAGTCTTACAGTCTATATCCCCGTTTCGTTCTACCCGTTCTACCCATCAATGATGGAATATAATACAGCACTTTTCGTCTCTCTCAATCTTAAAAAAAAATTAAAAGTTCAACAACTTTCAGACTGCTGCTAGCTAGCCGAAGCTGCTAACAGTCTCCGTCTATATTTGTGGCTGGGTTATTTGCGTCAGTTTCGTGACTAAAGTTTTAGTATTTGCGCCGTATCTGAGCTTGATGCTTCCTTCCACCGAGTCAGACCACTCGTTCTCTGTCCAGTTGTTGGCTGTGTTCTTCTTGCCTTTTCTTTCTAGGTATTTCCTCCTTGGTTTAATCTCTCTTTGATTTGGCCAGGCGTATTTTGTAGAAAATATTTTAAAGTGTTAACATTTTGAGTATTTTACTTTGCCAAAAAGTACTGCAAACAGTTTTTGGTTTTGGATAGATCCGAAAGGTGATAGTATTCCGCGAGTGACCACAGCGGTCTTAAAGTTGTCTTCCTGCAATAAGAACGGGTTAGTCATGTCGTGGATTTGTGTGTGAAATGTTCGGTGGAGCCTTACAGTTATTCTATTCGTCCTTTGTTGAAGGTTTGGGTTGGTAGCTAGGCTCCGGTGTACGTAAATACCATATACCCGGGAAAACCCATATCGATGTTACTTTTATGGGTTCTTTTGCAGTCGTCGCCCCCTCAATCCTTTTATTTCCCATTCTAGTGCCTGTTTAAAATTCTATGCTCGTTTCTTTTCATGAAGTGTACAATAAAGAGAGATTTCGTACGTGTGTCTAATAATTTGTGATACCAATGGTTACCCTGATATTCTCTTTTCTTTTTTCACCCTTCTTGCATTGATCGCTTTGGGGCCGCGTTAGCGCAGTCGATAGGAGACTCGCTTTCAAATCCGGCAGCGACCCGCTGCAACCCACTGCCGGTGTTCGAAACCGGGCGGTTCCCAGGGTTTACCAAGGCTCTAGGTTATGGGTACCAGAGTTAACACTCTGGGGTAAATGGAGGAACGTCGCTGTAGCTACAGAGTTACGTGCGGACGACGACACAGGCGGTCAGTTTCTTATCAGCTGTCCGTTCTGGTGGCAGAGCACTTATGGTTTATAACCGTGTGAAATGACGCTGGTTCACATCTCCCGACTTTACCTCTTGTTTTTTTAATTGCATTTAATGTTTGACACTTTCTTCTGTGCTACCTGTCATATAAAAACGTTTGCTTGTGTCATACACATGATAGCTCTTTCGACATAGGTTGTGTCATTCAGATGACAACTCTTTCGACATAGGTTGTGTCACTCAGATGACAACTCTTTCGACATTGGTTGTGTCATTCAGATGACAACTCTTTCGACATTCCATGTGTCTTTCCGATGACAACTCTTTCGACATTTGTTGTGTCATTCAAATGACAACTCTTTCGATATTGGTTGTGTCATTCACATGACAACTTTTCGACATTAGTTGTGTCATTCAGATGACAACTCTTTCGACATAGGTTGTGTCATTCAGAGGACAATTCTTTCGGCATTGGTTGTGTTATTCAGATGACAACTCTTTCGACATTGCTTGTGTCTTTTAGATGACAACTCTTTCGACATTTCTTGTGTAATTTAGATGGCAACTCTTTCGACATTGCTTGTGCCACACAGATGACAACACCTTCGACATTACTTGTGTCTCACAGATGACAACTCTTTCGAAATTGCTTGTGTCACTCAGATGACAACTCTTTCGACATTGTGTGTGCCACACAGATGACAACTCTTTCGACATTGTGTGTGCCATACAGATGACAACTCTTTCGACATTGCTTGTGCCACACAGATGACAACTCTTTCGACATTGCTTGTGCCACACAGATGACAACTCTTTCGACATTGCTCGTGTCACTCGGATGACAACTCTTTTGACATTGCTCGTGCCACACGACATTAGCAACACAACCAAACACTTCCCAAGCAAGGAACATCTTCAACTCCTTTAGGCTATGACCAGTGTCAAAGCTGTATTTATAGTTCTCGTATTTCTGTTATCCAATGCATTTTTAAGAAAGTGACTTCACTCACGTTTCCTCTCTTCATCTTCCTCTTTGCACTGGAGCTTAGAAAGGCAACCGCCACGTTGTATTGTGGTTTGCATCTAGACTGTTAAATCTGCCCCTTTGGGTCAAATGCATCATTACCATTATCGCAAATTTTCACTCTGCCGTCGAGTGTTGTGGGGAGGAATAGTCTACGATCCATTGATTGATGGGCAGCAATAGTCGCTTGTCATTCCGTGTCGACGTAGAAGCTCTTCAATGCCATCAATCCATGTTCTCCTAGGGCGGTCTCACGCTTTCATTTCAGATCTTTTCACGTGTAGCGCCTGCCTTGGTAGGTATTTTGGCTGCATTTAAATACATTAGATTTCACAAAACCTAATTGTTGCTTTTCAAGACATAGCTGTTCGCGGATAGTGGATCTAACCCTCACTCCCTCCCTAACTTGAGCTCCCTAATCGCATACGAGGGTTGTCTCACGTATACAGGCTACCTATGCCCAGCGCGCTGGCTAAGTTGGTTAAACCAGCTGCGCTGCGAGCGGGTGAAAAACTGGTGGGTCGAGTTTACACTCGGGGATAGGCAGAAACGCCATAAATGGTCCCAGATTTACAGTATCTATCATGCAGTCAAGGCCGAAAGGTTGCCCATAGTAATGAGCCAAAGGGCTTATAATTCATGGATTCTGGATTTTGAAAAAAATACATGCTAACTAAATATTGTCAGTACTTCATGCAGTCTCTATTATTCTCTGTGTACAACATCACAGACTAGATAGAACAGTTTTGTAGATCACGCCAGCAAGACAGACCAAGACCGGTCGTAGACAGACCCTCTACGCTCACACCAGGTCAGCGATGTATGGTCGTGTCGGGCAGTGATGGTAATTCCAGGTATTAGCCGCGGAACACGGTCCGGCATTACCACTCACAGGAAGGGCAATCTGGGCAGAGAGGGATTCTGATTGTGTGTTTCTCTAATCCCCCCCCCCCCCCGCTAAGCATACAGCTACACACACACACACACATACACATACACGCACACCCACACATACAAGCATGCATATTCGTATCTGAAGAAGAAGAAGAAGAAGAAGAAGAAGAAGAAGAAGAAGAAGAAGAAGAAGAAGAAGAAGAAGAAGAAGAAGAAGAAGAAGAAGATACAGACAAAGAAGAAGAAGAAAAGGAAGAAGAAGAAGAAGAAAAAGAAGAAGAAGAAGAAGAAAAAGAATAAGAAGAAGAAGAAGAAGAAGAAGAAGAAGAAGAAGAAGAAGAAGAAGAAGAAGAAAAAGAAGAAGAAGAAAACGAAGAACAAAGGGAATGATTATAATAATAATAATAATAATAATAACAACAACAATAATAATTCTAATAATGAAAATAATAATATTAATAATAATGAGAAAAAGAAGAAGATGGAGGAGAACAACAACAACAAAACAACAACAACAACAACAAAACAACAACAACAACAATACAACAACAACAACAACAGTCACAAACATTAACAATCACAAAAACAAAACAAAAATAATATTTGGGTAAACAACAAGCAACGCCGATTCTGAACTTACCTGAATTAGAATGAGAATACAAGTCATGACAATCTGAGACTTAGGACTAATAAAAGGCGGCCGTTTAGCTGAACGTCTAGCACTCTCAAATATTCTAGAAATTCTATTCGTCTTTATCAGAAGCGAGGAGTACACAACGCTAAACCCAAATCCAACCCCGAACCGCTGGAGGGCACACAGAAGAGTCGACGGTGGCGCCAGAAGGATGAAAGTCATGAAGTAGCAGAAGATGCATCCACTAAGTAACATATAGGAGAGTTCTCTCCCAGACGCCATCACAACCGGTGTACTGTTATACATCACAAAAAGAGTTATCACAAATGAAGTACAGATAATCCCCAGTGCTGCAAGAGCCATAGGAATAACGGCGTGAATGCTGTTCCAGACCATATACTGGACTTCCAAGGCGTAGCAGCCAGTTTTATTGGGATAGGGCCACATTCCTTCTGGACACGTCTCACAGGTCTTCTCATCTTTGATGTACTCCCAGGAACTACAGCGGGTACAGATCCAACAGCACTGCTCACCTCGCTGCATGTTTTTGATCTCTCCTTCCTTGCAGGGCTCACTACAGCGGGATCTCGGGACCTCTTTAGTATCGCCCGCCCAGATGATGTCTGAGTGATTAAGCGTTATTCCGCTGTTCCAGTTGCCAATGACTTTGTACTCGTACTCTCTGGTGATCCGGTTGCGCTGGTAGTTCATGATCATGTATCTCCCTGGGGCATCTCCATTCTCGTCAAACCGTACATGAGCACCATAGTTATCTGAAAGTACAGATAATATTAACATTTATTGTAAATGTCAGTAAAAAAAGAAAAAAAAAATCTCACGCAATAGGTTCCTGTCACCTGAGGAACGAAAAATAATTCTTGAGTGCTACCAGTTGTCATCTTCTTCTCGTTCACCGGCAGTAACCCCCTGGCGCAAGATTTAGCTGCTCATCGGCGTCTGGCCTTTGGTCATGTTCTAGCGCTTGAGGTTTTATACGTCTGGATGTTTTGGTAGGCCTTTCAATCTCAAAGCGGCGATCGTGGCTTGGGCGTTGAGAGTTTGACTCTAAATTCCAACATACCAAGATCGAAGCCCACTGCTGACTGTGTGGATTTTTATTATGGTACGATGCGTCGACCTAGCCTAAAATGAACAGTAGGATGTATGTCCTGGGGAAGTAAAGACGGTCGGCGTAATGTTGACCACATTACCCACCTAGTGCCGATTGGTCTGAAAAAGATATGGGTGCTCTTCCCATATGCCTGGGGCGCCCAGACGCATACAAAGGGATCTTTACATACTTCACTTTACATTTACTTCAATCTCGAAGGAAACACTTGTAATGAGTCGAAATTTTGAGAGAACAAGCTGGAAAATCCTAAATATTGCAAGTTTTAGCTAATGGTTACAGATAACTAAAAATAGTCAGATCTTTATGACATTTTACAAGCGACCTCCTTATCTATCATGTAAACAATAAATCACCGAGAAATAAAGTTACATTTGTTAATTTCATACTTATTTTCGTTTGATGAAGGTTCATATTTTAGTGATTCATAAATTGGTTGCAGAAAGAGATGTCAATCATTCTAAAACAACTAATGGATGTATGCAGCTAACAGTTTGTCTAGCTGCTTAGACATAATTAAGCTATAATCCGAACCTCTGCCAACTCTGAACCTCTGCCAACTTTGAACCTCTGCCAACTCTGAACCTCTGCAAATTCTGAACCTCTGCCAACTCTGAACCTCTGCCAACTCTGAACCTAAGTTAGATTTTCTCATATCGATGTCCAAAATTTTCTAAAATTTTCATAAAATCATACTGCCTTTATTTTACTACTTTCGCAGGGGACGGGGGGGAGGGGGTTTATTTGAGTTTGCGGATTAACGGCCGCATGGCTAGTGCTGTCGCCAAGACTGTGCAGGTTAGAAATGTTTGTGTGTGTGTGTGCCTCCGACGGCTACAATTTTCAGATTTACCGAGAATTCGAACCTGGGTCTCCCACTTCACAGCCCAGCGTTCTTACCGTTAAGCCAGCCACTATAGAATCGTAACTCAAGGTTAATGTTGATTACATGTGTGGGGCCCTTACAAATGGTGTGTTCCAAACATAACCTATCCAAAAGCATGTCATTCAAATTTAATTTAATTTGGCCAACAATTTTTAAAATGCTGATAATGGTAACGCGAATGTACGAAAACTTTATTGAAAAAAAAAAAAAAAACGGCCTTACGCTTTGAATGAGATAAGTGCACTGAGTGGCTGAATAAGCATATCCTTAAATAGATGGACCAATGAGATTTGTTCTTATATGCTGCCCATGAAATTAGTTGTAGGGCCTCAAGAAACGATAACATTTGCAACTTAAATGAAGTTTTTAAGTCAACTACAAATCGAGGTACAATTTTCCAAAGTTTGTGCATACATAATAAGCACGAAATGTTACATAAATAAGTTACAATTGCTTCAAAGAATGCAAAAAGATAGCTTAAAACACATTTG